TTTTGTTTGCATGTTCCTTACTTCACATCTTGCATATAATTCAGGGTTTTTCAAATTTCCTCATTGTGAGACAATAAGGTATTTTCATTCTATTAGTTGCTGCTATCATGGATCCAACTTCCTCTTTATTGGGTACATTTTGTACCCAATAAATGTAGGTATAAGAATCATTCTATCACTAAAGTAAAATACATTTGGTAGTTGCCTTGAAAAAAGTAAAAGATCCCAATGTAAAAAAAACATTATTTTTGTTCACCTTTACATTTTTCTCCCCATTTGTTTTGTTTCTTTATATGCCGAAGGGTTTTGCAGGTGATTATTCAGTCGATCTTGAAACATTGGATTTCATTTGGATTTTGATACAGTATGGATTTTGATACTGTATCAAAATCCAAATGAGATTAGTATTTGAGGGAAGAAAAGCCTGCAGAAATGATACGCATTACATAAGGCTTATTGTGGCAGGAATTCAAAAGGGAGAGGTAGACATCACAAGGATGTTATATTCTGTAGTTTATTGGTATTTTGATTTGTCATTTAATGTCTTTTTTCCCGAGATTTAGTCTACTTATGTATTTATGTGTTGCTATTTTGTTGATATGTCCCTTCCCAGTTTCTCCATCAGCCAGAGCCACCAGGCAATCAGTTGATTCCTTTTACCTGTGTCTCCTTGTTTAGCCCATTGTATGCGCCTGTTGCCTTTGTTTAGCGCTGGACAGGAAGCACCCCTCTGCATGCTTCCTGTCTTTATGCCCAGTTTGTGCTCATCATCGGTTTTTGTAAGTGTTATTTGAGTAGCTGAGTTTGCATTTTGGTCTGAAAGCAGAGCTTTAACTCAGAGAAGTATGAACAAAAACATCACACCAGGAACAGAAGTTTATATTTCTACAACAGTATACCATGACTTGATAACATGATATTTTTCTAATTATTTCATTTTAAAACATTAAACTTAAACTGATTTTATTGGGACACATGGATTAGAAACTAGTGAAGTTGAAGAAAAAGTAAAAAAAATGTTTAAAGGTTATTTTGTAGTCGAATGGTTGAGAGGTCTGGCCTCTAATAACTTATGTTTAAGTCTAGACTTTGACTATGCCTTTTATAAACATAAACTTACATCCTTGATGTCATGCTTGAAGGAAAACCTCCTTCTCAAGTCTTTCTGTAGCCTCTAGCCCTTCAGTCAGGATTGCCCTGAATTTAGCGTAATATTTATCTTCTCATCACTTATAAGCAGCTTCTTCGTTCCCGTAAGGAAACACATAACACTTATAATTTGAAGGAAAATGTTTCTCCTAACAGCTTCAAAGCTAACAAAAAATGGATCCATATTTGCCACATCATGGCTACAGAAAGTTAACCTCTGACCCTGATTCTGAATTGAGATATTTGACCAAATCAGCCAAAACAGTAGATGTATGATTGCACCACCAGTGCTAAGCACAAGGACACACTTTAAGAGAGTGGGTTCAAAGGGCAAGACAACAGGCTTTCACAGTCTAAGACCAGCAAGCAAACATCATAATCTCTTTATCTGAAATTTGATCAAATGTTGTTCTGAGTCCCAAAGAGTCATCTTGTTTCAATTCAACAAAATCTCAGTTCTACTTTGTTAGATCAACAAAAGGCAGCATGAAACAGAAACAGGATTAGAGGAGCAAAGGAATTTTGATCTCTGGTCTTCAAAGCTGCAGCTGATTCTGCTTCATTTGTCTCATTATTAATGAAAAGACAGAAATATGCCGCAGAATCTAAGAACATCTTGGAAGTTAATGCAGTTATTAAATGACCTTTTTCCAGTGTCAGTGAAATTTCTTTTATTAAGTTTACTTTTTATTGCTGGATGTATACAGACATAAGGATACTTGCTCTTCTACAGCAGATACAGTAAGATAAATGTCTTGATTCTGTTCAAACTCAAGCCTTTTTTCTCCGTTTATCAAACTGGATGAATCTTTTCTTGTTGGCAAGATATGACACTCCAGATTGCTAAATATTTTGTGTCTCTTTAACTATAACATTTGGATATCCTATATTACTATGCACTTAAAGTGTGTGGGAGTTCCAGGGTGAAAATGCTTTTGCAATTAAGCTTCTAAAAAGTTAATTTCTAACATTTTATATAATCCATAGAACAGATGAAAGAGCACATCTACTGATGAGCCTGATTTATCCCTGAAAAGGCTACACCCATCTGTTTAAGCGAATATCAGCAAGCATAAACAGCACATCGTGTTACATCTATCCTTCCATTACAGGAGACTGATCATGTGTTCCAGAAATTAAGGCATACTGTTATAAAGTGTTGATATCAACAATAAAACAATATTTAAAAAAAACCTTGTGAAGATGCTTCCTGAACCTGGAAAGTGTGTCTGTATGTAGTGTATAACTATTCATCATGTATCTGCATGAAAAGCGGCTAATAGATGTAGAAGGATGTACTCAAAGTGGGTGATAAAAAACTGAATTATGGTTTGCAAAACAAAAAAACTAACAGATGTTTTTTTGTTTCCTCCAAACATTTTTGAATGAGGGCACCATTCCAGTTGTGAACTGCACAGGTTGGTAGGCAGCATTATGTTTTGGGTGCATTTTGCAGAAGGAAGGGCCAAGGTACAGCAGAAGATACGTGGCATTATCAAAATAGATTGCCTTGTGGACCTATAGAGGCAAATCTCCCCAAGATTAATCTCCCTCGTATTACTTGCCACTGATCAAAGACAATTTTGCTAACAACGACAGACCAAAAACAATTTCAGAGAATGAGAAGAAGTTATTTTTTGTACCAGGAATCCGGCATTAACTGTATACCCAAATATTGAATAGTCATACTCCAATTTTTGTAGCCATATATCACTATTTCACCTTTAATTAAACCATGTAATATTCACCATTGGCCTTGGGACTCCTTGGGCTCCCACAGAGTGAAACTAACTTGACTCTGTAGATATCTGAGGGTACTTGAGGCAGAAATAATGAGAACTTAATAGGAAATTCCACCAGACACATTTGTGCAAAGTTAGAATAGTAAACTAGTTATAATGAAGTCAAACAGTGACACCATTGTGGACAGTGAGCGTGGAGTCCATGCTGCTGACAATATGCAAATGGTGCACCCAACTCTGTGAAGTCTTAACCCAAACTCTGACCCCTATGGAAACAAATATTCTTAGAAAGGCGCATATCTAATGTATATATAGTTATACTGTCTATTGTTATTTTCTTTGCAATTATTATTGTAAATACTCTATTGAACTAGTGGTTGTGGTTCTAATTCAAGCTCTTACCAAATTATTCTGAATGAAATAACATAGTGAACCTAATAAAACTGAAGTAAATAAAAGAACTATAAATTATTCATATTTACGTCTGGTAGAAACTGAAACACGGGGTTTATTTTCACATCTGAAAGGGTGAGGTAGGAAATTAGCAAAAANCTATAAATTATTCATATTTACGTCTGGTAGAAACTGAAACACGGGGTTTATTTTCACATCTGAAAGGGTGAGGTAGGAAATTAGCAAAAAAAACAAAACAAAAAAAAAAACAGCAAAACGCTCAAATGAGAAGACACTCGCTGGTGGTAATATACTCTCCTACACTGTTTACATTTGATCACTGCTGCACTTTCAGAATGGAGATGTTCCTTTTCACTCCTAAGCTGCTGCTCATTCACTGTCGGAAAGATGTATAAACGAAATTTCATTTTGTGTATACTCTGTGTATACAAAATTACATTAAAGTTTGTCTAAGTCTATTGTGATAACCTAAAAAAAGAAAGATACATGATTTGCTGATTTTAAATAGTCAAAGAAGCAAAGCGGTGGACTTTAATTGTATTGATTGAAATAAAAAAACACTGGAAACATCCTAGAAGCAGTTTCTGTTCAGACTTTGCAACAGGTCAAGTCTGTTTACACCCACAACTCCACAAACTCTAATAGCAGAACCTGTTAATCTGTTTGCTCCGGTAACACATTAACCTTCCATACCTACTGTGCAAAGTTGCAGTTTTTTAATATGCTTACTGTAGCAGCTTCCAACTGATAATTGATGTTGTGCTTTTTCTAGCAAATAGTGTGACTTGTTTACTGTACAAATAGCAGAGCATCAAATACAATCACTCTGTTTTCTGCAAATCAAATTGCAAACCTTTTCTATCTTTGAATTCAAATGTTGCTAGAAATTAAGAATGTGTAGCAACAAGATGGAGAAACTTTGATGCAGTTTAATGCAGATGGATCAAAGTTGTTAAATTGTTGATAAATACAGCTTTAACATTTAGTCCATCTTTAAGTATTTGCAATCTAATTAAAGTTTTTTTTTTTTTTATGGGTAGGCTTGCCACCTGTAGCTGAATTCCTACTTCCTCCCTGAGGAGGACTCAATGCAGGCAAGCCCTCTCAAAACAATACAGCCATCCATGAAGGGGATCTCTTGTTCACAAAGAGGAATGCTCATCTTCTCCTCCCAGCGCTCCTCTCCCTGTCCCTCCACAACCAGTCCTGCTTGATTCAAAATGGTGTTAGGATGAACTCTGACAACCAACACGCGTATTTATGTGGTAACCTCCACCCCAAAAGCTCCATGAGGAGAAGGTGAGTCTGTTTGAGTCCCCAGTTTAAGTTTGAAGTCTGACTGGAGCAAAACCAGTTTGGATGAAAAGTAAAAATATAGAGAGACCACCTATAATATTTACTGCTGTATCAGTTTGCTGTGGAGAAGCAAGGAGACACATTCTTTACACAGATGAAGGCAGTCTGACACAATCAAGCTCAGGCACAAGCAATTCCATTAGAAATGCAGAGAGCGTAGAGCATGACACATGAATGCACACCAGAACAGATAAGTTATAACCTAAGAAACATGCATTTGTATAAATGAGATGTCTCTAAATAATCCCATTTATCCAAAAAGCTTAGAAAGTATGTTTCCCATGCTTTTTGTTTGGATTAAAACACAGTGACAGATACAAATCTTGTAGTTTTTACTACCTTTCTGAGGTGGTTGAGCCCCGATGAAGCTCTCTCAGTGTAGCTTCTCATTTTGTGAAACCTGATCCTGCAGAGAAGAGCATCCACTTGCATGGCTTCTTTCCTTCAAACCAACTGGCCTTTCCAGCACCCCCCCACCCCCCCTCCCTCAGTTCATCCGTTCCAACTACCCTACCCCAGCCTCCAACTCCTCTGGCTCTGCATAGCTCCTTCCTGATCCTCCAACAAAGACACAGCCGGGAGAAGCCCAAAGCAGTTGGGAATGTGGGAGCAGAGTGAAGGGACTTCCTCCCTTCTCTAAGTTTTAAAGCTAAAAAAAATGTTTATGGCTCCGCCTGCACTCACTCACTGTGCTATCTTGAAATGACAGATTTTCTTCTCTTTCCATCTCCCCTTCTCAAACTTTGCCCACCCCTCTTTTCCTTAAGCCACCACCTTCCTCCTTCCTTCCTTCTCTCTTTCTCTCCTCCCTCTCCATTTTCCATCATCACCCCCACCCTGCTAAGCCCCCTACCGCTGAACTAATCTGCAGCTGGCTGAGGGATTGGAGCTCTGGTTACCTGGGAAACCAATTGTCCTGTTCAGTAAAAGAAAGACAAGGGAAGGAGATGGAGCAGGAAGGGGCAAGGCTAAAAGTGACTGAACATAGCTAAAAGCCCCTCTGGGAGGCAATTAAGAGTGATTCTTCCTATCCCAGACAGGGGACAACATGTCCATCAGTTTTATTTTTTTGTTTATGGGTGCAAACATGCCATGTAATGGCAGCAGCCATGGGAAAAACACAAACCAAAGTTGCATGAAAGCATTAGCTCGTGTTGTTAAGAGATAAGTTACTTTTGTTTTGTTGCAAAGATGCAAACCTGGGAGTCCACTGGACCTTCAAGATAAGGTCCACAACAGAGTGGCTTAATGGATCTGTAAATAAATAAAAAAGAGAAAAAGAAAGCAAGCGTCCATTAAACAAGGCTGGACATGCATACTGATGACTGAGGGATTAACAATTAACCAGCAAAGCCCCAAAGTTATGTACATGTTTTGGGATTTTTTCTTCAGTTTGCTTAAAAGATACTTGTCAAACACAGGCCACTGATACACATTGAATCTATTTCACATGATATTATTGGAATTTTAGCGGGACTTTTTTTTTTGACTCAACAGACTGGAATCCTGGTCTTCATGATACTGCTTCTTCACTAATATATTCTATCTAAGCTCGACACGTCAAAGAACAGCTCTGTTTATCTTATAACTATACCATTCTATTCGCTGTATTTCAAAGTTATGTGATGTCTATTAAAGGGTGTCATATTCAAGGAAGCTGAATACAAGTCTCACAGTTTGGATTTTCATTTGAAAATAAAAATATATATATTTATATAAACATGTAATAATTTATTTTAAATGATACAGGTGTGCATTTACTTGTGTGAACTTATTACATTCTGTAAAATCCCATTAAGATCCATTAAAAGCTAAGGTTAAAACAATATGACAGGCTATCTTTGAGAACTGTGTTTGTTAAACTCATCCTTAAACAGGAGATTCAGCTGTATTGCTTATTAAACAGGTCTACAATATCAATATAATCAATCATTTTTCATTATAATAGGTTTATTTCTTAAATATCACTGTTAAAAGTTTTTTTTTTCTTTTTGCTTAGATCTCTTAAAGGAGCATGTTTTCTACCAAAGATATTTTGTCCAGCATCTTGTTTTTGACATATAAGGTATTTTATTATAAACCAACATTTTTGAAGATTATATCCAGTTAAGACAGTGGATCAGTGTTGTTATCACTGTATTTTGAAAGCACACAATAACATGAATGAACCCTTAAGCTTAATTTATTTCATCGTTTAGCTGAGGAGCTTTCATAGACGTCATGTAGCAGCAATGAAGCTGACCTTTGAGCCCAAAGCCTGACCCTGCCTTTGAAATGCAAGCACAATCTAAGAGCCTGGCTTGTTCATCAATAGCAGTGGGAGGTGGAGGCCAGTAACATCTGTTTGGCGTTTATCTTAGCTTATTGTGTTCCTGAGTCCTCTATCAAGCCTACAGCTGGGATCCTGGGAGCGTTCTGAGCTCACTGTCCGGGGGACTCACTGTGACTGAGAAGATGGTTTCAACAACCTCTCAATTCCTGTCAGGGTTTAGAAGACTAGCTGAAATAGCTCTGGTTTAGGCAAAGGGAAATTAAATTGCAATAAGGGTGTGTTTGGTTTCATGACTCCTACATCTTCCCGACTTTCCAGAATTGGAGCGCTAATGTGTTAGTTTGATAAAGCTGTAAAGTCGCAATGATTAACAACTAATACCGTTTAAAAGAAACATGGTTAGCAATACAAACGACAGTAATTATGCATGAACATTTGATTGCAATTTTGTTGGATTGAAAATGTGGAAGGATGGGGACACCATCGCTCAAATAGGCTACCAGGAGGCCCTAAGGAACGCTGCAATAATAACGTTGTAAAATAAATTGATATATAGATACTAGAGATGAACTGATACTGGTTTTTGAGGCCGATGCCGATACCATCAATTTGACATCATTCTAACTGATACTAGATATGTTGGACAGTATGCAATAATGCTTTGTCTTCTTCTATTCACATGATAAAAATTAAACAAGAACAAATGTTACTCAAGTTTCAATTTAAACAAAGGGAAACATATCAAGAAAAGATAGCAAAGGAGGGGTGCTAATACATGCACCTTACATGAACTCAAGGAATGACTGCTGAATGTCCCACTGCACGTATTTGCAAATGCTGATAATTACAAAAACATTAATAATGGCCAGAAATATCAGCCCGCCTATGTATCATTCTATATCTGAGAGATAGCCATAGAAATCAAACCAAAAATCTTTTCTTCAACATTTTATGAGTTTATAACTTTTTTTTTTTAATGGCAATCTCACACTCTAACATGCTGAAACCGCTGCATTCGTCCTTGAAGGTCTCTATTAAATGTTCATCATTTACTGCTTGCTGAGACTGGTCTAACTAAAATTATAAGCTCTTTATTCAGAGGAAATGTTTCTCATTTTATGTTAAAATGTTAAATTTAAACACATTTTGGTAGAGATATTCAGATATTTCTGTAACTCACTAAAAACAAATATATTGCAAAAGAATAATTGATTAGTCATTTGAATAAATACACTGAAAATAAATTGGATTTTCTGGAATGAAAAATAAAACTTTTTAAAGAAAACTATTTTAAAGAGGCGCTGATCACTTGTACCATCGCTTGCTCTCCCTGCTCATGCTTTCAACTCTTAATTTAATAAAACAAAAAACAAAAACAAAAAACAATGGCTCAGTATGCTTGAAGTCGTCGAGGAGTTTGAGAAACTAATGACCAAGCAGGTACTTTCATTAGCATTTATACTGCTTCCTGTTTAGTTTACTTTATTAGACTAAACTGAGGTAAATGTACTTAGAACCGAAAGGCAAAAAGTAAAGGTTGGGATTTGTCTCCATCTGTTGGTCAACAGACCTCATTACAATACTTCATGTGACCTGAAAGCAAGTTGTATGTTTTGGTTATAATTTACAATATAGTGGTAAATAACGAGACATAAATTAACGAGAGGCGGTGTAAATTAAAATCCGGTTGTAATTTAAATTTGATTCTTTAAAAAAGTTTTTTAAAAAAGGAGCATTTGGAGAAAGAAAAATCTTAAAGGGTGACACCAGTGCGATCTGGACAAAATTGTAAACCTAAAAAAAATGAATGAAGATAAAAAAAAAATAAAATTAAAAAAAACAACTATCCGTGATTATTAAGTGGAGCTTACGAAACAGTGCGGGACATTAACAGAAGGTCACGTGACCACCGGCCACCCGTCGAACCCGGAAGTGAGCTGTCATTGTAACGTTTTCACTGGTAGCTCTGTTCTCCCTGGAAATGAATATTTTTAGATGTTCATTGGCGCCAATTGGACCATGAAATGCGCTTTTTGTCCGCAACGGGAGGAGATATTCACCACAGCAGCTACTCTGCAGATAAGTAAAGTCACAACAGAGAGAAATCTCCCTGAATTTGGCTCCAGTGCTTTGTTTTGAGTTGGGATACCCCTAATACAGTCACGGGTTTTTATGAGACAGACATATTTTCTACGTTTTGGCTCGTCCCGGTGCTTTTATTACAGGACAGGAGCGGATGTGGAGCCTCGCGCCGAGCTAACGGCTCCCTGACAGGATGGCCATGATGGTGTTTGGAGCCAGAGGGATGCTGGTCAGCCTCAGGTCGACTCTGCAAACAGCAGGCTCCTTCAGCAGATGGAGGCTCATGCAGAATCAGGGGAAATGTTTTCTAAAAAGGCGGCAGATTCTCACCCACATACCCAAGGTCACATTGCTGTGTTGGGGAGCTGTCAATGCTTCATCCTTTGCAGCCAGGTGCCAAGAAGCAACTCTGTCACCCAAACCAGCAGACAGGAAGTCTCTTGCAAAAGTCCAAGTCCATAAAGTGATATTCTTTATCCGCCTCAGCCTGCGTGCTCTGGTTCTTCTCTTTAAATTTGGCCCCCTTCTTCTCCTTTCCCCCTTGGCCCTGATCTCCACCCACTGTGCTTCTTACTGGTTGGAGGCTCTGCTGTGGGTGACTGAGACCTCTGGGCCTACATTTATCAAGCTGGGGCAATGGGCCAGCACCAGGCGGGACATCTTCTCCAAAGAGTTTTGTGAACGCTTCTCCAGGCTCCATGTAAAGGTGCGCCCTCACCCCTGGGCCCACACCAAGGAGTGCCTGCGCAGGGCCTTTGGAGAGAGCTGGAGAAGAGTCCTGGTGTTTGACAGCAAGGAGCCTGTGGGCTCAGGATGTGTTGCACAGGTGTACAGAGGCTGGGCCAGGGTAGACCAGGTGGAAGACCCGTCCTTCCAGTTGATTGTAGAGGAGATGGAGAGGGAAGACATGCTGGAAGCCTGGGAGATCCCTGGCCTCGCAGGTGCAGCTGGGGTTCTGAGGCAGCTGTGGAAGGGGAGGAAAGAGGAGGAAGACGGATATAATAAGGAGAAGATCTGTGCAGAACAGCAGCCTGGGGAGAGCAGCAATGAGAAGGAGCGCCTGATACCTGTGGCAATCAAGGTGAGGTTCACCATAAGACATTAACCGTGCCTTGGACGAGGATGATCACTCCAATAAACAATAAAAAATAACATTTTATTTCATGACAACCACATATTTCTGTTTTTTAATTGGACTGACAAAATTACATTCTTAATGTGATGAATAGAGGGAACATATAAAGCGTTTTAGGGCTGCGCATATTGATTATTCTAACCTATTGATGTTTTTTACTTTTATGATTTTGAATCTAAAAAGAAATTCATTTAGTAAACTAACATTTCTAAATAAAGAAAATATTTGGAACAGAAAAAAAATCTTTTAGTGTACATCTCAGATAAACTACAAATGCTAAAAATATATGTATATACACACAAATTTTATTTATTATAATTATTTTACCTTTAATGTAAAAATCCTATATATTTATGTTTATAAATTTTTATATATTTGGTCTCAATAACTGATCTAACTGGGTTATTCTCTCTGGAAATTCTATATTTAGTTTTAGTTTTTTGACCAAAGATAAGTGTTTAAGTCAGTACTGTGTAGAAACACCATTGCACACTTTGTTTACCAATTAGGTGACTTCTGAAGGTAACTATCCTCTTTTGAAAAACATCTAGCTTTTTTTTCCTTATCACACTTACAGAATACATTGTATTGTTCTGTCATTTCAATTTACAATAAAATAGATTGAAGTATGTTGTTTTGTTACAAAATTGGAAAACAATTTCTTTTTAAGGAAGCTGCATATTCCTCTCCTCTCATGTGCTCATTAGGTGGTCCATCCAGGCGTCAGGAGGCAGGTGGAGATCGACTTGCTGCTGATGAAAGCAGGCAGCTGGCTTCTGCACTGCATACCTGGACTCAAGTGGCTCAGTATGTTTGAAGTCGTCGAGGAGTTTGAGAAACTAATGACCAAGCAGGTACTTTCATTAGCATTTATACTGCTTCCTGTTTAGTTTACTTTATTAGACTAA